TGCCGGCCAGAGGACATTCCTTCCAGGCGGCCAGATTGAGGCTGGGCACTCGAGAGCATGACACTAGGTCTTTTCGCCCCCCCTGCGGCCGCAAGAAGGCATCCTTAGGCACCTCAGTGATGTTGTCTGCATTATCGCATATCACACGAGCAAGACTGCTTCCAGCTCGACGCAGTTCAGCAAGCTGGGCAGTCGTGAAGACGCCGGGTGCCTCGTACCAAAACCGGTCGCCGATCCGGAGACGCTGAAATTGGTCGGCCAGGATGCAGGCAAACGTCGGTCCTACCTGAGCGCCGGGCAGAACTCGTTCAAGAATCCCACCCACGAATAGGTCTATGTTTCCCGGATGACCGTATACACGGCGCAGGCGTTCGCGGATGTTGGCGTCTGGAATGCGCTCGCTCAGAGCATCAAAGCTGTCCGGGAAGGACGAGTTTCCTAGGTGACAGACGCGATAGGCGTACTCTGTATAGCCGGGCAGGCCGTGGTCTCGGCCTCGCTGAATGTTCAGAGAGGCCAGGTCAAGGGCCAGTTCGTGTGCCATGGCGAAGAGTTGTTCAGTCAGTTCGGGGTTGAGCGGCGGTCGGCGGCTGGTGTCGCGGATGCCGTAGTAGAGGAGGCCGCGAAGCAGAGGGTCAATGCCGCCATCGGAGACGATGCGGTCTGGGGCGAAGAAGGCCTGATGTAACATCAGATGTCCGGCCTCGAGTTGGCGCCAATCGGGGCCCAGACGAAATACGAAAGGTGGTATCATGCCATGACCAAACCGCATGGCCGCAGTTGCGAACTCATTGCTAATGGTTGGGTTCACCTGGTCATCGTAGCCTGGATACCGAGAACCGCCCAACCTCTCGAGACCTTTGCGACCAAACACGTGAGGCAGCCAGGCCTGGAAGGTTATGGCTTGCATGCAGGCAGCGACTATCTTACGCGCCTCTTGGTAGATCCGATCGCCTGACCAGTGTGGATTCAGATTGCGCAAACTTTCTGCAAGCCTATTGTGCTCCCGCAACCAGATGGTGTGCAGCGCCAGCAAG